CGTTGGATCAATACACAAAACAGCACCCTGAAGGATAAGCTGCAAGAGGATTACTCTGCAGCTTTAAGGATCTATAAAATCAATATAAACAAGGCAAGGACCACGGCATGGCCTAAGTTCTGTGGCAATTCATACAGAGACCCCTGGGGAGAACAATATAGAATAGTTTTTAAAAACAACAACAAAGCCACCATTCCACACATTCTGACAAGTAACAGCACCCATGGTAACAACAGCATAGAAGACAATATCAAACGCCTACTCAGCTATCACTTTCCTAAAGATAACGCCGAAGAAGATACAACTTATCACCATCAAATCCGAGCAGACAGCGAGGGAACATACACCAGCACCAAAGACAGGTGGTTCACCTTCCCTGAAGTTACTAAGGCTATTACCTCTCTAGCTAGTAAAAAGGTCCCGGGAGTAGACAACATAACAGCAGAAATGGTAAAACAAGCACACAAGGAAGTCCCTATTCGCGTTTTTCATGAACTATAGAGGGCGCTGCATTTTTACAAAATGGCTACTGTATCTGGGTCGCATGTGACTAGTAATGTAAAATTAATCATATATTACTGTCCGATATAATGATATATGCTGCCTGTAGCTGTTTATCGGGAAATTTTATATAAGGAGAACAATTATTGTTAGCGGGACACGTCATTATGTGGTATCGAAACAAATGAGTGAGATCGTTCTATACATATTTGTGTCCTTTGTGTTAAAAAACATCNTTTCTTTTTCTACAATCTTTTCGACTAATTTTAATCCTAATTTCTTTCGACAATCGTTTCGCGTGTTTAACGAAGTGGCGAGTTTTATCGACTTATTTCTTGAAGTTAATATAAATATCTCCTCCGTCTGTCGTTCTTCTGTTTCCGTCGACGGGTCTATCGTTCCTCGATAGAGAAAAAAGAAAAGAAACGAGATGAGAGAGTTCGGTGTCCGTTTGATGTTTTCGCCGCCATCTTGTTCCGGAAAGCGTGCGGAAATTGACGCCTCCGCGCGTCAATTCTCGGAACTATCTTTTAATTAATATAGCCGAGTAACTTACGCGGAGCCAACGATATAAACGTTCCATATGAGAGTAAATGTTTATTTTTATTTATTTAACAACAAAAAAAGAAGATATCATTCATTACACTCTTGTATTAATTAATGTTATTTCTGGAGTTTGTAAGGAAACGTTCTACTAAGGAAAGTACTGTATAAAGCTATATTCTATAACTAAAATCAGTACTTATACCATGACACACGTCTTGATGTATTCCTAAAAACACATTGTGTTCAAAACATAAGTTTATGTGCACCCTTCATTTGCATACAATTACCTTTTCGTGGGTCCTTGCACGTTGGCGACTCGTCTAGTCGTCGGTGTAATACGTGGCCCAAGTGTTTTGTAGAATATCGACCCGTGCTTCTTGAAATATTGTCTTCAGTTGATTTTTGTTCAGAGATTGTGTTTTTACACTTTAGGTACCAACCCAGTTTAGACTGGATGAATTTGGGACCCATTCCAGGACTTGGACCTGGTTTTGCAAGCCAAGTAGTGGTGTACTGTACAATAGGCATCTAGGCAAATGCTTGTTGGAAGATTGCATTCTATACATATTTAGGTAAGCCACAGAAGGCACAAAATTGCCTGATGGCATTGGTTGTTGACGGACTGTCCCGTCGTAAAGAATTAAATTGCCGATGCTGGAATATCCGAACGACCGCACGCTTGCACAGTAGCTGGAAATTTGATTCTTAACTTCATACGGTTTTGGTGTGTCCTTCATTGGGCAATCTGATGACCTTCCACCCAGTATTTTCATACAAGAGTAGGATGGGCAACTCATTAGTCAAAATCATCCTCTGATGTCCCAGCAGATGATCACTGTCCATGTGAACCACTTCTTATGCTGAACTGATATAAACATGGGTTTCAGCTTACTCTTATATGAGCTGTACCTCATTTCACATAGCCTGTTGCTAACAATTTGTTCAGATATGAAACATTCTATGCATCTGCTCCACAATTCTACTGCTAACATGAATATAACAGATCAGTATTTCATGGTGACGATGCAAAATTTGATCTTCACTGGGAGTAGTTGGCAGTTTATCATTGATGTGTACAGGCACTGCAGCAATCTTTTCTTGTCTGAGGAATGTTCTGAGAGTAGACTTATTCAAACACAATTCAAAACTCCCAAGAAGTCTGTCACATAATCACTTTATTGTATTTTTTCTGGATGATCTGCTCATAGATCATCAGTTCTAACATCTTTCTTGCCATTATATATCAAACTAACCTTATAATGCTTTGCAGTTATTTTGTAACATATCACAAATGCCATTTCTTGCCATTTTTTAGGTTCTGAACAATGCAGAGATTGCACTGGTTTTTATACTATCATTTGTATGTATATGGGCAACTGTACAGTACAAAACACAAAACAGCAAAAGTTTATGCATATGCAGCTGAGCAATGGCTGAAAGTGCAGGATGAGTGTAAATTTATTTCCTCCATATTTTGAGCAGAAAGATGTTTCCAGGCATACATTGAGATTCCAGTTACAGTGTAATTACCAAGTTTTGTTATAGAGCATAGCTTAAGCAGTGTTCTTATTTTAGTAAAAAGTTTGCTTACAAATTGCAAATGATTCTGCATTTTTTACTGTTTATAATAATGAATGCACACCTTACATGGGATGTGCATATATTTACTTCCATTTATAAGATGGTAGTATTACCTGGAGTTAATGTATATCATTCTATTTTTATTTTTATGCATATAATAAGATTTATCATCATCAAAACTTAAAATATTTCAAAGTTGAGTTAATAAGAGTTAATGTAAATTACAGTTATTTTGCAAATTATTTTGCTATATTTTATGATAAATAGTTTCCGGAAAGCGTGCGGAAGTTGACGCCTCCGCGCGTCAATTCTCGGAACTATCTTTTAATTAATATAGTCGAGTAACTTACGCGGAGCCAACGATATAAATGTTCCATATGAGAGTAAATGTATATTTTTATTTATTTAACAAAAAAATAAAAGATATCATTCATTTCACTCTTGTATTAATATGTTATTTGTGGAGCAAATGTACTGTATATGCACATTTTGTACACTTAACACAGGTAATAAGAAAAGCAGAATCATTTGCAGTTTATAAGGAAACTTTCTACTAAGGAAAGTACTGTATAAACCTATATTCTATAACTAATATCAGTACTTATACCATGACACACGTCTTGATGTATTCCTAAAAACACATTGTGTTCAAAACATAAGTTTATGTGCACCCTTCATTTGCATACAATTACCTTTTCGTGGGTCCTTGCACGTTGGCGACTCGTCTAGTCGTCGGTGTAATACGTGGCCCAAGTGTTTTGTAGAATATCGACCCGTGCTTCTTGAAATATTGTCTTCAGTTGATTTTTGTTCAGAGATTGTGTTTTTACACTTTAGGTACCAACCCAGTTTAGACTGGATGAATTTGGGACCCATTCCAGGACTTGGACCTGGTTTTGCAAGCCAAGTAGTGGTGTACTGTACAATAGGCATCTAGGCAAATGCTTGTTGGAAGATTGCATTCTATACATATTTAGGTAAGCCACAGAAGGCACAAAATTGCCTGATGGCATTGGTTGTTGACGGACTGTCCCGTCGTAAAGAATTAAATTGCCGATGCTGGAATATCCGAACGACCGCACGCTTGCACAGTAGCTGGAAATTTGATTCTTAACTTCATACGGTTTTGGTGTGTCCTTCATTGGGCAATCTGATGACCTTCCACCCAGTATTTTCATACAAGAGTAGGATGGGCAACTCATTAGTCAAAATCATCCTCTGATGTCCCAGCAGATGATCACTGTCCATGTGAACCACTTCTTATGCTGAACTGATATAAACATGGGTTTCAGCTTACTCTTATATGAGCTGTACCTCATTTCACATAGCCTGTTGCTAACAATTTGTTCAGATATGAAACATTCTATGCATCTGCTCCACAATTCTACTGCTAACATGAATATAACAGATCAGTATTTCATGGTGACGATGCAAAATTTGATCTTCACTGGGAGTAGTTGGCAGTTTATCATTGATGTGTACAGGCACTGCAGCAATCTTTTCTTGTCTGAGGAATGTTCTGAGAGTAGACTTATTCAAACACAATTCAAAACTCCCAAGAAGTCTGTCACATAATCACTTTATTGTATTTTTTCTGGATGATCTGCTCATAGATCATCAGTTCTAACATCTTTCTTGCCATTATATATCAAACTAACCTTATAATGCTTTGCAGTTATTTTGTAACATATCACAATTGCCATTTCTTGCCATTTTTTAGGTTCTGAACAATGCTGAGATTGCACTGGTTTTTATACTATCATTTGTATGTATATGGGCAACTGTACAGTACAAAACACAAAACAGCAAAAGTTTATGCATATGCAGCTGAGCAATGGCTTAAAGTGCAGGATGAGTGTAAATTTATTTCCTCCATATTTTGAGCAGAAAGATGTTTCCAGGCATACATTGAGATTCCAGTTACAGTGTAATTACCAAGTTTTGTTATAGAGCATAGCTTAAGCAGTGTTCTTATTTTAGTAAAAAGTTTGCTTACAAATTGCAAATGATTCTGCATTTTTTACTGTTTATAATAATGAATGCACACCTTACATGGGATGTGCATATATTTACTTCCATTTATAAGATGGTAGTATTACCTGGAGTTAATGTATATCATTCTATTTTTATTTTTATGCATATAATAAGATTTATCATCATCAAAACTTAAAATATTTCAAAGTTGAGTTAATAAGAGTTAATGTAAATTACAGTTATTTTGCAAATTATTTTGCTATATTTTATGATAAATAGTTCTTTGATTAATCTGTTAAGGGTATACAATTCATTCTGAATATAAAATATTATATAGATAATTTAATATCTTTGCCTCAATTTAAGTTTAATTGTATTTTATTAAAATTATATTATAGGTGACCCATATATCAGAATTATAAATCAACCAACAAATAGAATGAGATTTCGATACGGAAGTGAAAAAGGATCTCATGGAGCTTTAACAGGAAAAGATTCGTCTCACAAAAGAAAGACTTTTCCAACAGTTCAAGTATAGTGCTTTTATTTAATTGTTATATTTATTGAACTAATTTAAAATTATTGTATTAAAATATTGTAGAAAAAACTATTGGTGTTTATCAGTAACTTATATTTATATTGATAATAGATACATAAAATATTTCTGAAAATATGTATATAAAACCATATTTATAAACCACATACAATCATTAAATATGAAAAAAGGAATTAATATAAGCTTTTATTCATGAAAATTTGTTAATAAGAACATTGTTAAAATGGAGTTTAACAATTTGTCATAAGTGTGATTCACAAAAGCCATCATAGATCATTACACTGCTAACTACATGTGGGTATCAAGAATATGGAAATATCTTTAGCACTTGTATTTGTTGTGGTCCAGAGGACAATGAAAACAGTGTTCTCCGTACACTGTTTTCATTGTCCTCTGGAGTGCTTTTGCTCCACGACAATGCACGACCACATACAGCCACTCACACACTGAGCATGTTTGCGAAGTTTCGGTGGAGTGGGTAGGAACACCCACCATACAGCCCCAACCTTTCACCATGTGACTTTCACATCTTTGGTCTGCTAAAAAATGCATTGCGGGGTTGACGTTTTCAATCGGACAGAAAAGTCATGGACACTGTTCAAAACTGGTTTCAATCTCAGCCAGACTCTTTCTATGAACGAGGTATTCACTGCTTGGTGCAACAGTGGGACAAGTGTTTGTGTAATTTTGGTGATTACATTTGAAAATAAATAATGGCTACTGTTCTGTTTTCATTTGAGCCACCCTAATATAATAGCTTTAAATAAAGGATGTATTTTATAGTCAATGATTATCAAATATATTTAGAATATTTCACATTACGCAAAGAATAAAATTTACTTTGAATTAAGAAATTGCAGAAATGAAGTTGTATAAATCTATTTTAATGAAATGTCAGATTCATAAAATATAGAAACTTAATTAATCTACTCTCTATATATAAATTATTAAGCTTAAAATTTTAACCACTCTAAAAAACAAAATAGAAATGGTGGCACTAGGAGTTGATGAATTGTCAAGAAATTTTTAATAAAGCAGTTCTGTTTCTTAATTGGTATTGAGAATAATTGACAAAGATGTGACTAACAGTAAACACAAAACAAATTATAAATGCAACTGTCTGAAAATTAAATTATCATTTTCTGAAAAATCTATCTTTTTGTTGCTTCAAAAATTGAAAAATTTGTATTTCTTAGTGTAAAAATGTATCATTTAAACCACTCTTACCAAGGTTTTGTTATATCTAGTGTTAGTTACAATAACTGCTTTTTATAATTTTTATTCTGATATAATTAAAAAAGTATGCCAAAGCTATTAAAAAAAGAATTTATAAATTAGGTACATTTCTATGGATCCTCATTACATTTTTGGATTTGTCATCACAATTAATGGAAAAAAGCAAAATTTTATCAAAATCAGCTCATTAAATTTTGAGAATGAACTCGACTCTACAGTGAAGCCCATAGAAGATGTGCTAGTGACCATGAAATATTATTATTATTATTATGTAAAGAAAAGAGACTGGTTGTCTAAGAGGACTTATCCTAGAAAGAAGGTGAGGATAAGGTAAGAAATGGGGTATGGGAAAAAGGAATGAAGGTTAAGATGAGTAATATTAGGAGGAGGAGAGATGTAGAAAATAGCTGAGGAAGAATTTAGAGTAGGGTGAATACACAGTCCTGACATGCAATGCAGAATTTAAAGATAAGACGATATAAAATATTACAAATAACAAGAAATGCCATTCTGGCCAGAGGAATGAATACAATAACTAATTACCGATGAGGTATCAGCAGACAATATGCATACATATTAACATGCTGAGAACAAGTAATTACAATGATGATTCACAGTTGAAAACAAATAATGTGATGACACAGTTGTATTCATGACAAGCATTATCCAATTCCTGTTGGTGGGTTGGCTATGTTGTTGTACTCCAACAAGTCCCATGTCCTAACAAAACTTGAGAAGATCTTGTAGGTCTCCTTGTTTGCACACAGTGAGCTGAGTTCCGCAGGCCATGCCAGACCATTTTGTAGGCAATGGCGAATAAGCTGTACCCTGTGATTATCATGCTTTGGGCTGTCAAAGATGTAGTGGAGAACATTCCCCACAGAAGTGCCAGCACAGCTATACATGTCACTATTAGTCTTTTCGAAATGATGGAGATAAGCAGGAAAGTTTCCATGTCCTGTCACACACTGAATGATAATGTGGTTGGGTTCATCACTGGCAGCTACACAAATACATTAGCTGCCAGTGATGGACGGAGGGAAGGAAGCTATAGGTGATCCTGCCAGTAGTGGAGCTAGTCCACTCAGATTGCCATTCATCCAGGATATGGCTATTGGTGAAGTTACTGATGTAAATAATTGGGATTTGGGAGAAGGAGCACCCAATATTTAGAGTAGCTGCCTTCTTTGCCAGTGAATCTGCTTGTTCATTCCCACTGACCCCTGAGTGCCCAGGGATCCAGTTGAGCATTAGCTGGTTGGATTTAGCCAGGTTCCTTAGGCGAGTGTTTGATGTTAAGGCCGGTTGTCATGCTCTCGCTGTTGGTAATAGTGTGAAGGATATACTTGCTATTTGTTTATACTGATGTTGCCCTTGTAAACATTTTTGTTACTAGTTATTTGTAGTAGGACCCTATAAATAGCAAGCAACTCTGCTTGGTTGTTTAAACAATGGTTCTTCAATCTAAAGTACTGTTGGTAGTTAACCTTTGCATTGCTGTCGTAAATCACAAAGGCAGCCCCTGTTCCTTTGTCACTCCTGGATCCATTGGTATAAACTTGCCACTTAATATTACATTCCTGACTATGGTCACCATCAAAATTTATCCTGTAGGTTGTTTCTTCCCTGGGTGAGAATTTGTCATGTAGCCAGAGTAATAGCCATCCAACATGTAAGTTTTTATGCTGTTTATCAAATCCTCAGAGTTTGGAGGGTCTTCATCAATTTCAGAAGTTGCAAAGGTGGTAGAAAAAAAAAACATCAAGTACTCTGATATTTTCCAATGTGATACAATATGAGTGAAACTCCTCCAAATTAGTTGATGATAGAGAAGTGTTTTTAAACATTAATCAAGTTTGTTTTTACTGTATGTACTGTACAGTACACTATATAAACTTGTTATTGTAAAAATCTTCATTTATTCAATGCACACACTGCAGAAATGTTTATTGTTTGATATGCTTCTATGACAATTATCATTCACAGAATTGTGCTTATGGAAAGCAAACAGATTGAATAATGTTAATAAAAATGTTTTTTTATTAACAAAATTGGCTTTGAATAATGATAATTTTGTTTAAATCTAAACCTCTTCCCAAATAAATTGTAAATAAATGTTAGTACAAATTCCATACCACTTTCTAAGAGAAAATACTGAATTGAATAAATAAAGAATCAAAAATGTTTGTTCATCTAGTTTATTTGAACTGTACCAGAAATCTAAAGGCTTAGAGGTGATACAAATTCCATATACAGTGCATGAAAATAACTTTTAAATATAATAAATTTAAAAATACCAAGAATAAATTAAAAATTATAGTTTTGTATAAAAAAATTTATACCACTGAGATTCAAAATACGAACCTCATGATTATGAAACTGCTGCATCTCCACCAAGCCACCACCCACTCTACAAATCATGGTAATTCTGTAAGTTTTAAGTGATTTACAATTTTTAACCTCAATTTTCTTATTTAATTTTGAGTGTTGTGCCTTACTGCTTGACACATGTCAGTTGTTGGGGATGCACTATAACTTCATTTAGTTTGATCAAAATCAGTGATCCCACCGTCGTGCCGTCTCCTTTTTAGTGGTAAGGAGAGAAAGGTACAGGTTTATTGGAGAGATGAAATAAAAAGAGTGAAAAAATTTAAATACATAGAATTAATGTTAAAAAGAGGAGAAGAGTTAGACACAAATATAGCAAACAGAATAAGTATAGAATGGCAAAATTGGCAGAATGCTTTGATAAAAGAATACCAGATAGATTAAAGGAAAAGTTTTATATAACAGTTGCTAAAACTGAATATTGAGGAAGAAAGAAATTCAGGTAAAAATGATGCAATTAGCAGATGAGGATGGTCAGATTTGTGTGTGGTTATCTTAGCTGATAGGATTAAGAATGAACATATAAATCTTAGTTTAGAAGCAAAAGACATTAAAAAGGAACTTATTAAAACAAGACTTGGGTGGCTTGGACAGGTAGATAGAATAAATGATTATAAATTGGTTAGAAAAGTTAGGAAAGTTCACTTAGGAACTAAGAGAAGTAGAAAGAGATAGGCCAAAGAAAAATTGGGAATTGGCACTTTGAAAAGATTTTAAAAGAGTTAAAGTTAAACAAAGAGAGAGCTTAAAATAGGATAGTTTGAATGGCTACCAGGCCAAGGCTTAACTCCTTAAANTCGTAGACTAGTGCGTCGTCTGTCACTTGGACCTGGGGGTTGGTCAACTTCGGTAGACTAGTGCGTCATGCTGTTGAACATTGATGTTTGGAGTACTAATTTCTATGGTCGTGGGTTTTGTTTTGTTTTTGTTTTGTTCAGGTGAAGTCTTGCTACCAGTGTGATCTACCTATGGATCTTCCCGAGAAAAATCTTCTAGAAACTATTTATTTCACAGGGACTGGCCATAATTATGCAAGCCCTACCAGCCAACTCGCACAGTTCTGTGTCAGTAAATAACAGAAAAAGCATCAGGCAGGCAGCATTGGAAATGCATGCTGCTGCGAATAATCTTTATGGCATGGTACTGGCGCTGAGGTCAAAAGGGAAGGAAGAAAAAGACACTTTTGCCAAGATGGTAAAATGCAAAGGATCTATCGGCAGCCAAACAACTAACATCATCGCCAAAACAGTAGCTGAAAAAGGTGAAGCAGCATCAAAAGTGCAAGATCTAATCATCAAACCAATAACTACAGAGGAAGGAGAAGCATTATGTCCGGAGGAGGTAATGTCCAA